AGAATGAAATACTAACTACTCCCCTTAACGACGAATGCCTGGAAAGTAATCGGAAATAATCAATCAAGCCTATCCGATGATATTCCTTCTATATATCTCATATAAAATATGTACAATAAAAAATGAAAGAAAAGAGAGAGGATGGAAACTGAAGGAAGAGAAAAAAAGAAAGAGAAAGAGAGAGAGAGAGCATCGCCGAGAAGCTGCGTGACGTCGTCGTTGTCGTCGTCGTCGTCGTCGCTTTCACAGATATCGAAGCATCTCGTGGGTCTTCGCCATATATGTCCTATTCCTCCCGATCTTTTCTTCCAATCCAACCGTTATCACTGAACAGTCTTGCCCTCCCCCAAGAACCTGTACTCCCTCAAACTCCCTCAAAGAATAAATTGCCTATATCGCTACGAATTGACGAGAACAAAGGCCGATTCTTTGACGAGAGAGTAGATATTATCTATAATGCATATACATATATATATAAATATATACATATATATAAGTATATATATATATTATATATTTACGAATTACACACACGCAATATGGAATTGATAAATCCTTTATCTTCTTTTTAACGAAAAGAACATACTCCTCGAAAGAGTACAAAGTATATATATATATATATACATATATATATATATATATATATATATATATATATATATATATATATATATATATATATACATGTATATATATGTATATGTATATATATGTATATATATATATATATATATGTATAACGAACATATATCGAAATATAGAGTAAAAGAAAGAGAGAGAGAGAGAGAAAGAGAGAGATAGATAGAGAGGAAGACATATTTATTGACTCTTGAATAGATAAAAAAGAAAATGAAGGTTTATTTTTGCGACGAACCTTGAACTTTTAACTAGGACACATTTAGAATTGTCTCTCGTCGAGATAAGCCAAAAAAATATTGTACATATGTATATATGTACATGCAGAATACTTTGAAATCTCGTCGATTCGTATCGATTAACGCACGATATCTATACATACGTGCGTTTTTATTGTACAATAATGAGAGGATCTATGTTTATCGTACCTGGTTTGATGTTTTTAATTTTGAAAAGTCGAAAGAATTTTCGATCAGCCGACTCAACCTCGCTCCACCCTGCCCACCCTAGTCCACCCCATTCCCTCTTCTTTTGAAAAATCTCTAATCGACGATGTTAAGGCGGAAAAGCAGAGTAATTATATTTTTTGAGATGATTCTTTTTTAGATGTTAGTAGATTTTATGGAACGAGTATAACGGGAACCCCGATACCCTTTCCCTTCTAATATGTATACATATATATACGTAGTTATTATATATACACATATATATATATGTATATATATACGTTATATATATATATATATATGTATATATATATACGTTATATATATATATATATGTATATATATATATACGTTATAAAGATAAACGCGCTACCGATCGAGGATTTCTTGTAATTAACGTTTCGAGTATGTGTTCGCGATCATCGATCGGTAATTTTCGTGAGTTTCTCCTTCGGGTTTCAAATGATGCGACTCTACTATCACCCATACATTTTGAAGGAGACAAGGTATATTATATATATATATATATATATATATATATATATATACATATATACATATATGTCTCTGTATATGCTCTTATATATATATATATATATATATATATATATATACATATATACATATATGTCTCTATATATGCTTATATATATATATACATATACATATATATATATATACATATATATATACATATATATATATATACATATATATATATACATATACATATATATATATATCTGTACATATATGTTGAAGATGCGGGGAGCAATATAAGAAAGATTCAGAAATGTCGGCGCGAGAATATACAGAGGGAGGAGAATTTAATAAAAGGGATTAGAAAAGGTCACACTTTGAGAGAAAGTCAATCAGAAAGTCATATTCGGTAGCTTCTACGTGTAGTCTGTAGAGCCCGAGAATAACTATGCGTACCTTATCACTAGGCCTTAGAGAACGAACAGAAGAGAGAAAAAATAATAATAATAATAAAAAAAAAGAAAATAATAATAATAATAATAATAATAATATTAAAGAAGAAAACAAAATAAATGAAGATATATAAAGGTAACATCGAGAAGTTTGAAAAAAAGCACACAAAAAAAGCAAAAAATATTACGAAAAACAAAAAAAATTAAGAAAAAAAAGAAGAACAAAAAAGGAAAGGAAAAAAACGAAATAAAAAATAGCAAAAAAAAATGCACTGTTGAATATTCTAAGATGTCTATAAATGTTGATACGTTGCGGAAACGCAATCGATGAAAGAATTCTATGAAACGAGTACGTTCGTTCAATTATAAACACATACATACACATATACACACATAAATTCATTCATACATATTTACATACTTAGTATACATAACATATATATAAATATACATGCATATAAAGGCATATATATACAGTAGGAAGAAGTTTACGTATGACGTTACGTGAACGCATTTGACGCATACATATATAAATACATTACATACACATATATATACATACATATATGCATATACATACACATAAACATACATACTTACATAAGTAAGGAAAATTAAAATTATAAAGCTTCCAGCTGTATATTTTCGTAGCTCAGAGCAATTTAATCGATCTTCCCCCTGTTAACATTATTTCCCTTGGCTGAGTTAAAAGAGACGCCAAAATGAAAAATCACAATTTCCCAATATCGTCTATTCTTGTTCACACTTAAAGAAAGAAAGAAAGAAAGAAAAAAATAAGAAAAAAACAAAAAAAAACAAGAAAACCCACGGGCTGTACCTAGATCATAATATACATACACTATCAAACGTTTTCGATTGGTTAATTATAATCCGATTAGATGTTGCCATTCGTAGGAAACATTATCGCGAAGTATTTTAATCCATCCCCAATCCCTTTCAACTCACATTTTACGAGAAAAATTCAGAGTTCGCGCACATTATATATTATACATTACATACATATGTACATATCTATACATATATGCATATATACATACATATATATGTCGTCGTTTCTAACTTTTCTTCTAAAGTGATATAAAAAAATTAAGAGAAAAGAAAATCATCGCCGCGGTTGTAATATAATAACGAGTCAACAAGATACGATAATGGGTGGAGGATTTAAAGTTCAAAGAGAAATAGAGAGAGAGAAAGAGAGAGAGAGAAAGAGAGAAAGAGAAAGAGAGATAGAGATAGAGAGAGAGAGAGAGAGAGAGAGAGAGAGAGAGAGAGAGAGAGAGAGAAAAGAAAAAAGTCAATGTATCTCGTATCTCTCGACTCTTACGTTTTATATAATAGATGCATAGAGAACAGATAGATGAATAGATAGATAAATATACATACATACATTCATATATGCATACATTAAATACACACATATATCGTAATTCATGAATTCGTAGAAAGAGATATCGTGTGGTGATCCAGCTGGATATATATATATATATATATATATATATATATATGTATATATATATGGATATATCCACATACAGATATAAATTTATAGGACATAATATATGTATATGTTATATCCTAAAAATTTACACCCTTATAGATAGATTACACCCTTATACATATTGATCCACGTAGGAAAAAATTCTTCCAAAATCGATTTCTCTCAACAGTGGCAACATGTTGTATGACATAAGAAAAATGAAGCACGAGAAACATTCGTATAGAAATTGTTCCCCGATCTCCCCGGGCATCTCTTATCACGAGATATACGACGATCTCGCGCGTGATTAATTTTTGTGAAAAAAAAGAAAAAGAACAAAAAATAAAAGAAAAAAAGATACAAGAATGACGCAGAAAACAAAACAAGACACAAAAAAAAACAAAACAAAATTAAGAAAATACACAAGGGGATAAACTGCAAAATTATTGTTACTTATGTACATCGTTTTCGACGATATTATTCTCGTTAGACTCTGACGACGACGGAAGATCTGAATAAAGAAAAAAAAAAAGAAAGAAAGAGAAAAAAGAGAAAAACAATAAAACAAACGAGACCTTCAAGGTTAACGATTACATGGATGACTGTTAGGAAAAGATAAATGGAAAAATAAAAGTCAAAAAGAACGATAAAGAAAAATAAGAGCAGAGGTATATACAAAAGAAATTAATAATAATAATAATAATAATAATAATAATAATAATAATAATAATAATAATAATAATAATAATAACAATAAAACACAAGCAAAACCTACTTTTTTGTTTTTCCACACCCCCACAGTTTGTCGTCGCATTTCTCTCACTTTTTTCCATAACCATATATATATATACACTCCACTCTTTATATATATATATATACATATATAGTATATATATATATATATATATATATATATATAAATATTTTATATACAAAATTGATCCTCCTCCGCAGACTATTGACAGGCTTGGAACCGCAGGTGCTACGAAGAAGGTGCAGCCGGGTACGAATTGTCCACGGAAAATCGTTTTTTATCGTGTTCTCGAAATGATAAAAAAAGAACGAAAAAAAAGAAAAAAAATAGAAAAAGAAAAAGAGAAAAGAAGGAAAAGGAAACAATATTTTTTTTTGTTAATGAGATGTGAATCCATTTTTTTCTTTTCGTTGAACCTATGCAGTTGACGACTCTTTTTTCTGTGTTGTCTGTTATTTTTTTAATTTCTTCTAATTCTCCTTCTGAAAAAAAAGAAACAAAAGAAAAAGAAAAGGAATAAAAAAAATGATCTTCGACGAAAAAGATGAAAGAGGGAAGGAAAGAAAGTTTTCATTAATTTTTTATCTCTTTGTATATCAAAGAAAAAGAAAAAAACGAGAAGAGAAAAAAAGAAAGAAAAACAAAGAAAATTGAATGAAGAAACATTTGGGAACGTTTTGTTTTTTTTTCTTTGTTTCTATTGTGAAATCAACTACCACAACCCCACTTATTTA